TTCCTCCTTCAGGGCATCGACCTTCGCACGCTGAGCACGAAGCTTCTCGCCGCCGACTTCCATGATTTTGTCCTGCAACTCTTTAATCTCTGCTTCCGCACCCTCGGTCTCGGCGTAGAGTTTCGACATCTCCTTGTTGAGCTTCGCAATCTCCTTCTGCAGAGCGGCCACCCTGTTGTCGTCGGACTGCGATGGTTGATGTTCCTTGCTCAGCTCCTTCACGCGCCGTTGCGCATCCACAAGATTCTTGTCGGCGCTCTGTACCTCCAGTCCGATCTTCTGCATCTTCGTGTCCAGCTGGGGGATCTGATCTTTTAGGTACCTGAGACGGGTCTCCAGTTCTCGCTGGTGCTCTTGGAACTCCTGGAACTTCTGCTCGAGTGAGTCACGGTCGCTTTCAAACTTGACTACTTGCTCCTTAGTCGTGTCGGCCACCAGCTTGCTCGACATCAAACCCCTCTTGGGAGCGCTTCCACCTCCGGACATGGTACCACTCTTATCGATGAGCTCCCCATCGAGTGTGACTACCCGCCATCTCTTGGCACCGTAAGCGATCCGGTTCGCCTGAGCTAGATCCTTCGCGACTAGGGTATCTTCCAAGGCACGGTAAAATGCAGGTCGAAATATGTCTTCCTTGGCCTTGATGAGGTCAAACAATCGCGGCGCGTCCTCGGGAGTCTGTATAGGCCGCAAGTCACGCGCGCGTAGCTTATCTAAACAGATGAAGTTGCCTCGCCCGAGGTTAGTCTTCCGAAGATACTCGATGCATTGCTGGCCGGCTTCCACCGTGTCTGTGACAAAATTGTCGAGAGAAGGACAAGCCGTGGAGATGGCGACATCGTATCTCTCGTCGATCATGCCGAGATTCCCAAGGCGGCCGCGGAAGCCTTCAATACGACCAGACTCCTTCATACGCATAAGCGCTGTCAGCACATTACCTCGGTTTTGAGTCTGCGAGAGGCTGGATCGTGCTTCTTCCGCCTTTTGCCTAGCATTCGACACTTTCGCTCGAACATTAGGTTCCATCTGGACTAGGCTGTCAAGATCGGCTTCCACCTTCTTTGCCTCCTTTTCCAGTTTTGCCTTCTCGGCTTGGCACTCTTTTAACTCGGCCAGTTTGGCGACGCGCCCTTCCTCGATATTGGCGATCTTGTTCTGCATCTCCTCCAGAGCGACCGCGCCAGCATTGGCCTTCTCTTCGAGGATGGCCATCTCAGACTCGGCGACAGCGATAGCAGACTGCTTCTGGTTGATCTTCTCTTTCCAGGGCTCAAGGGACTTTTGCTTCACGGCAATCTGTTCCGAGAATACTTGCGTCTTGCCCTTCAGGCTGTCTCGGATCGTTGCAAGCTCAGCCTCCTCATCTTGCACCCGTTGCTCCAGTTCCACAATCTCATCGGCGCGGGAAGTGATCTCCTCGGTGCATTGCTCAATGATTTCCTCGGCTTCAACCGCCGAGGTTTCGGCGTTAGTAATGGTCTTCTCCAACTTCTTCTGTTTATCAGTCAAGAATTTTCGCTTTTCGTCAAACTTGACCCTTTCTTGTTCAAATTTGGCGGCCTCCTTGACCAGACCCTGGGCATGCTTCTCCTGAGACTCGAAATCCTTAGATCCTTTCGCATACACCTTCTGCAACTGCTTGATGACCTGCTCGCTGCCCTGGTGCTTCTCGAGCTCGGCGTCAAGTTGTGCCTGCATCTGGTTGATTGCCTCCTCGGTGACACCCAGGTTGTTGTTACACTCGCTGATGTAAAGTTGGTAAAGCGCCGACTGCTTAAGCGTCAGGTCGTTCTCGTCTCGAATGTAGGCCAGAGCTTTATTTTTCTTGTCCTCGAGACTGTTCTTCTCTTTTTCCACATGTTGGACACGTCCGCTTTTCTCCATGCATATCTCGTTAAGGGTCTCAACTTCCGTAGCCGACTCCTCGATAGGCGTCTTGTACTTGGAGGTGCCGATGATATCTTCGAGATACTCGAGTAGTCCGTCTTCGTGTTCGTTGGCGGCTTTCGGTTTCATTTGAGCGATAGACTCGACTTCGCCTTGCAAGATGAGGAAACGCTTATGATCTAGATCAATGCCTCTGTCGCGAAGCAGCGTGGTGACAGTTGTGAAGTTAGACTCGCCACCGTTGATGTAATATTTACTCGAGTTGTTCTTGAAGGCCTTTCTGGAGATGACAATCTGCGAGTTGGGAATGACTTCTGCTCCACCACCCGGCTAGATTATGGTTAGTATTACAATTGAAAGCAACAAGCAAAGGTAGACTGACCAGATCCATCACTTCCTGGAAGTGAACTGCCACCTCACAGTGGTCGAGGTTTGGATAGGCAGCAGAGTTATGGATCAGAGCGGATATCTTGCCCTGTCGCATCTTGCTTGCCCTAAATCCAAAGACGAAAAGAAGCGAGTCGATGACATTCGATTTGCCAGAACCGTTGGGTCCCACCACCGACGAGAATGATGCGTGGAATGGGCCAACTTCTTGTCGCCCGGCGTAGCTCTTGAAGTTGGTCAAGATCAGGTAGGTAATAACGATACGAGGTTTGGGGCCTGTATCTTCGGCAACAGTAGGCACGGCCATCTTGCGTGACTTCAGGACAATATCCATGGGCTTCTCTAGGATGGTATCCATGGGCCGAATGGGCTTGATTTGGGTGACGGTCTCATCTGGAGATTGCCGGTGCTCGTTGATGCTCTGGTTGGTAATATCAGCCAGAGGCGTACCATGGAGCTCGGATGGCTCCTCAGATTGGGCGGGGGTAGGCATAGGAGGCTGGCTGTCCGGTGTGGCCTCCTTGCTGACCTTGCGAGGCGCGACGCTCTTTCGCTTCCTCGGAGAGGCCTTCTTGGTGGATTCTGGGCTCATGATGGTAGTAGCAGACTGATTGGGGTCAAGCAACTCGCTTGATTCGGTGGGTGGTTCGGCGGCGACAGCAACACTCTTCCTCGACCGGTTCGCGCGTGGTGTCGCAGGCGCGGTAGACTTCCTTCTGCTCTGGGTTTGGCGGCGCGAAGATCGGGTAGTTGAAGATTCGGGAGCGAACTCATCCTCGCTATCTTCTTGTTTTATCTTTTGGGTCGTCTCTGCGACTACGTCGTCTTCGTCGTCTGATTCGATTATGGCTGCGCGTCGCGCTGCAGCAGCTCGACGGGTTGGTCGTGTAGACATCGTGGGAAGTAGTCGGCTCCGTGGGATAAATCTTCGCTTTTCACTTATATCGTGTTTCGTCTTTCGATTAGTCGCTGTCGGTGTCTATAGGGTTGTCTTGTTCGTGGCGCATTGGATTTGTGGTGGTTAGGTACCTAAGTGACAGAACCAAACTCGGAAAAGTAAACATAAACAACTTGGCCCCTCTTTTTCCCCTCCAAACACGTCTTCCCCCACTAAAATTAAAGTTATCTGCAGGGGATAGCTGGATTTACCGGCTCGCTGGAACTGTGGTTACGTAATGCATCAAAACAGTTACTTGGCATGTCAACCAAACACCAAGCTTCTTCATGACATTGACATAAACGTTCTGCTTCCAGATACCCGTACACAACCTTGCCAGACCGTTCCGCCTTGGCCAATCCATAAGATGCGTCTCGATTCCCCGCAATACAGCCGCATATTCGGTTCCTTAGACCCTTTCCCCTACAATCGTGCCTTCGTCCAACAGATTGAAGCCACCCGCCGAGCTCTCGATGGCTCTCTGTTCATCGAACGAGTATTGAAGGCTCTGAACCTCTCCAACGCTAGCAGCGCCTATCCCCCCAGAAGCGAAGCCTCCCTCCGAAAGCTCTTCGAACATATCTGCGACAACACAAATGCCACTATCCACCACAAGGCCTCGGTGGTCTTCTATCTCCTCCTTGACGTGGACGAGCGAAATGGCGTGAGCCGCGCCCAGTATATTGCCGACCAACTCAACGTACCCGAAAATTACAAGATCTTCATGCAGGGTTTGTGGTATATGGACAATCAGCAGTTCGACGTCGCACTTCAATATCTCACCCATCCTTCCCTCCAACCCGACTTTGTCGACGACATCGTCTCTGTCCTGGTCCGCCGCGCACCAGACGACGACTACAGTCTTCCCCTTGCCTACTACCAGACCGTTCAGCCCCTAGTCCAGTCGTCCTCGACATTGGAACTGTTGTTTGGCGCCCTTGCGCGATCCAGCGTGGTTGACGCCTTTCAATTTTCTCGATCCCATGCCGAATACATGCGCCGCCAACTATTTCAACGTCTCGTTCTGTCCGCGCTAGAACCTGCTGGGGGTGAGCAATCGGCTGAGAGGGCGCTTAGCTTGATTAGTTTGCCGTTCGACGCGCACGAAGAACAGTGGTTCAAGGAGTGCTTGGAAAGTGGCGAGGGCAAAAGATTGGCAGTAGCCAAGGACGCCCTGCTCATGCGCAAGATAGCCACCAACCAAGCTACGTTCGGTAGCGAAACTGGTACCTGGGCCGTCGTTCTCGAGGGGTTTAAGACAGGAAGTGGAGGTCGTGTCCAAGCTTGATCAGGCGTAAGCTATTAGGTCCAGATTCAGCCTTGTCAAGTAGCATAGCGGCGGCGTTAAGGTTTTGATGAGCTGAAAATGACACCATGGGATATAATACTTAATATCAGCACCGATCATCATGTATCATGTGCGAAAACCGCTCTCTTAGGTAGTCACGCATACTCTTGTGTGTCTGTACTTATCGAGGTGTGGTAGCTGACGTATACATGTGAACACCCCCATGGTAGCTATTATTAGCAAAAGGATAGTTTAACCTAGAAGTTCCCTATCTTGATACGTTTTCTAGCTGTATATTATTATGCGAAGCCTAGTCAAATCAAACCCGAAAACATCCCTCACATTCCAACTTCAACAATGCTTACAAGTGCATGTGGGGACTACTATCTACAGAGCTGGGGGGCTCAGAATAAAGCAATAGAAGCTTGCGTGTATAACAAAAATAGGAATGGTAGTACAGGTAGTTTGCTTTGAAATTATATACTAAAAAGATAAAGATAACTCCGAATCGGGGAATCGAACCCCGGGCTTGACGGTTCTGTTCTACGAACATGAGAGCGTCAAATGTTGGCCACTACACCAATTCGGACTAAGGAATCATGTATTCCGATCCTAGTTTCTATACTAATGCTAAACAACATATAATACCTTAGATAGGAGGTAGCTGTTAACTAATTGACAAGGCGACTGACAATTCACACATGAAAAGTTGATAGCCGCCGACTTAACCATACAAATTTGCCTTTTTATACGAAGCTGATTTCAGGATTTTACAGGGTTGATTTCTATACCTAAACCCAGGTGTCATAAGAGGCTTCTCGCAATCCGACCCGGTGTTGTAGAGTAGTATACCCACATTTGACGGTAGCACTACGATGCACAGGCTCTAGTTTCAAGCGCAATCCAGTTTTACACTTTGTATGTATAGAATGAATCGCCTACATATATACCTCACGAATAAGCTAGTAGTCGATTTACTTAGTACTGTAGACGGACTGATGGGTAGGCTTTAGGGCGCGGGAGCTTCAAGGGACTAGACTCAAGGGGGCGACTGTGTCAAGGTCATTACTGAGAGAATAATTAATAGTTTATTCTATCTTCCATTCTCTTTCTTCTTTGAAATTTGATCCTCCTTCTACGTATATGTTCTCTTTCCTCTAATATTGAATCTAGCAGTCCGCTACCCCTATTCTGGACCGTCTAATAACGACATTCTATGCTTGTATGAACATCATTGTAAATAAGCCGCCGTTAAAAGCTGTACAGCAGATTCCTGGGTGCCAATCGTCACGTTATCAAACGGACCCTGCCAGCGAAACCCGTAAAAGTCAGAGGCATTGCGCGCGTTCTCGTACGCAGTTTGCGCGTTGTCCCTGATGAACCCCTGGTAGGGGTGGTCGGAAAGAACGGCGTCCAGCTTCCCAAGCCCACGCATGAATATTCCCTTGAAAGCTGTGCCGTTTGGCTCGCACTCCTCCTCGGAAGCGCACGGTTCTGTTATGGTTCCATCTTGGACGAGATCCATGCTGCTCACTACAGCGTCTGCGATCTGCCGTGCTGTTTCGAGGAACGACGAGTCATCCAAGGCGATGCTTAACTCGACCAAGCCGCCAAGGATAACGCCTTGATTGTACGTCCACGTTGTCGCCCCATTGTTAATGCATGTGGCATCATCGGTTAGGCCGTCGTTGATGAGGTTCTGACTGTTGATCATGCCGCTGTTATTGAACCACTCCCATTCCATAAGACTATGGTTCAGATATAGCGTATCGTCGGGGATGAGATTGTGCAGGGTTGCCGTCAGCTCCAGATAGAGCTCGTTGCTTATTGCATTGTGATACGTTCTATTTGGGATATTCCATATGAGCCCTCCTCCGCAAGTTGTCGTGTTCCAGTAGTTGGTCATATATGCTTCGTCTTCCTTTGCAATGTCCAGATATTCATCGTCGCCCGTGAGTTGATACATGCTCGTCATTGCGAGAGCCCACCAGCCCGTGTCATCGGTACTATCGGCGCGGAAGTCACCTCCTCCCTCTGGCCACCACTCCAGCGGTGCGCGCTGAATGTCAACGGTATTTTGTGCTTGGGCGAGATAGTCGCGCGACCCTGATTTGACCATGTACTCGGATAGCGCCCAAAGAGCTACACCACTCTGCCACCATGACCCCCCCGGGTTGTCGGGATCCCAGAGACCTGTCGCGTTATCGTACAGGGCCATCATAGAATCCACAGCTGCGCGAGCCATGTCAACTTCAGACGGGCTCGGGTCCCTTGGAGCAGCCTCCGCAAAAGCGGTGGGATAGATCAGAAGGCAACATATTGCCCAGTAGGTTGATGTCAACATGTCTGCATGTCCTAAGCCGTACGTCAAGCCTGGGGTTGTTTTGGATCCCCCACGATGCTCTTATAAAGCCTCTTGGTAAGGTATACAAAGCTGGCACGCGGTCGCGAGGCGGAAGATATCTTCCCTCGTCGAGCCGATGAAAGATGCCATAGTATTGGCATGCCGACTACTTCTCCGGTGAGACATAAATAAATAACAAAAAGGTCAGACGCGCGACGCTTGGGTCCACGGCCCAGTCATGTTGGTCAATTGCGCCATGGTACTCGGTCCTTCTCTCTGGGATCCGATGCAACACTCAGGCGCCTGCATGGATTCCCGCAAACCATCACGATCTGTATTGATGGAGTTATCTTGCCAAGATAAAAACAGTTCGCAGTCTATGCGAAATACGAGAAAGCCACCCGCCGAGGCGTCCTGCCCCCTGTCCCAGGAAACGTGAGGCGCTTATTTGCATGTTCGCGTACGAGTTGTCGGTCTTCTCTTCCGGCAGGATTAGATGGGTGGCTTGTGTAATCTTCTATCAACACATTCTTTAGTATTCGGAGGGGCGTTTTCGCTTGGCTGGCGACGCCGCAGCAGGGTAAGGAGACGTCCAGCTCCATAAGCGCAAGTCAATGTGTGACCATGTTAATATAACCATGTTAATATGGAGTGTGACACGAACTCCTTCGGCATCGGGATGTTTAACCTGCACGAAGGTTGCTCAAGTATAAAGTCGCCTCAACTTAAGTCGAAAGTCGCCAGATGCGCACGTGATCCTCCCCCTATTACGACCTCAATATGCTGTTCAGCGCTAAAGGAAAGACGTTTTAAAGTGACTATTTACGCAGCTAAGTGAATGATGGACGATCATCTGTGATCTCCTGCGTGTAATATGCCGGTAAGCGCCGACAGAGGAAAGGATCAACAAAAGTAGCAGGTAGCATTCTCGGTGGAGCAACGGCGTTGTCTATCAAACCATGCGATCATAGGACCGGTCAGCCAGTTATATGGTAGGAAAAGCAAGGTTGCGATTAAACAGAAACGCTCAGCTGCCCAGGTAGAGGTAAGACAGAAGGATCTCTTCGACAGATCATGATCCTGCTGCTGAGACAGTAAAAGTCAGAATTAGTCCAGAGGTATGTAAGTAAATGAAACCAGTGGTCACAAGGCGGAAAGAAGTAGACTTGCGAAATGTGACAGCTAAGAGTAAATAATGACCCATTGGAAGGTCAACCTTCAAGAATTAAGAGTCGATTTGGTGACGTTTTCCGCTTCGTATACCCATGTTTTTATCTTACACATTAAGGCGTCTACACGTTTTCTCGTCACGTACCCGTACCCATACCCATTCCCAAGCCCCTCGTCCCTTCATTCATGGCCTGTAATACCACGGCTCGTTGAAAACGTGATATCTGTGGCCTCTAACACCCTCTCCCCTAAATAGAGCCGGAAACTTCCAGCCTTCGGGAACATCGTGTTCGCTCACTCTACGGTTCCTCGCCTCCGTATCGCTATCCAAAACTGCAACCTGTGCCTTTTCGGCGTCGCCCTTCGGCACGACGAACTTCGCAACTTGCAGTTCAGTATCTGTGATAGTACTTCGAGAAACCCTCGCGTAGCCCACTCTCTGGAGTTGCTTGTATAGGATGTACTCGCACCAACGATCCCAATCACTCGGGTCCACGTCGTGCATTCCAGAAACATCCGAGACGTACGTGTTGTAGTTACCTTCGAGGGGCTTGGTGACTAGATACGCGAGAAGTATTGTTGGTCTCGACGAAGACCCCATTAACTTGGAGAGATATTCGGTCTGGAGGCGACGATCTTCGGGGTCCTCTTCCTGTCCCGAGTGGAAAACGAAGACGTCTACCAATTCACCGTAGACGTCGAGGGTCGCGTGGATAGCTGGGGCAAGTTCACCCACTGGAGATGGGAGCAAGTGATGTGTCGAGTTCAGGATGGGGAATTTGGACAAAAGTGCCGAACCCCAGGTATGCTTATTCGGACCAGGGCCGTAGTCGACATACATACCTAGATCCTCGGAGAGGAATTGCGTCGTGTCCCTGTTGCCCATGATTATACGTTGCGAATCCGTCTCCAATAAGCCAATGACGTCGATTTCCATCTCTCTGATCAGATCACGCATGCGATATTCGGAAGACCACATATCATTATCGAGCGAGAAATGAATCGTCCAGATGCCGGCCGTAATAATTCTCGAGTCTTCGTGGTAAGGCTTATAATCGTTAGACGGGAAGCGCCGGATTGCAGTGGCAATGAAGAAAAGATTGATGATGCCGAGGGCCAGTGTGTGATATTTGCGATGCTGCGATCGGGACGGATACCCACGCGTTTCGCGGCGGCTGGAGTTCACCGAAGTCAAGTTGAACACGCCAGCGCCGATGAGTAGCATCATTGTCGCCATGATCCAATCCGTGTGTTCTCTGACAAGGGGTCCGCCGGGAACGAAAGCGTAGGCGACAACCCACACGTGGAACAAGACCATCAAATTGTAGATGAAGAATCCCAAGCCAAACGTCGTTGCCGGGCTCTTCTTAGAAGCTGCGGCAATCATAGGGGGAGCGATGGCTGTTAGGTAGAAGGCGATGGTGAGGGCGCCATAGTAGCCGAACCAGTTGTGATACAAAGTGAGGATGGCGGCCCCAATGCACCCAACGCCATACACCGACCAAGAGCTCACGAGTCCCGGTTGGCAAATTCCCGTCAATAACCCAACCGTCATCGCGGCCACCGTGAACCAGCCATGGGGAGCAGAGAGAGGTCCCCGCACTGGGTAGCCCTCCCATACCCAGAGAATCATTGTACTCGAGTCGGAAAGAAGGGAGTGCAGTCCAAAGAAGAGGCCACCGATGCCTAGAGCAGCGAGGAGCGATGACCCATTCTGTTTGCCATTTCCAACGGAGCCAGTATGTATCGGTGCCCTCCGTGTAAACCTTAGCATCGCGAGGATGGCTAACGCGAGTCCTACGCCATTTTGTCCGCCGTTGGCATCATGCATGATTGGCCACAGCGGGTTGTTGGTTTGCCATGCGAACTTTACAGCGGAGGACATGATTAGACCGACGATCCAGGCCAGTATTTTTGACTCGAGCCGGACTTCGTGAGCGGATTCGGAATACAAGGTGGCTGCCCATGACAGGCACGATACCGCAACGCCGACGCCAATGGTGGAGAGCCGATATGCTGGATCTTTAACCTGCCATGCCAGAAGACCCCCGAGAGATAGAAAATGGAGCAGGCGC